TCCACACTGGTGACTGCAGGGTTTTGGTGTGGGATCGAAACGAAATCAAGAGAATAGAGACTCTGCTGCTTAAAACCACAGTTCGACATTCAAACCCACTTCAGAAACCACACTTGGAACTTAGATCCAGGTCAAAACCCATACCCATACCCTCGCTCCACATCCACATCTACTGATCAAAATATGATTCAGAAAACGACCTCATGGATCTCACCTGTTCTCAAAGGCTATTTTTCTTTGAAAAACTAATATGCTAACACCAATAACTGGAATGTTAGATGAATCATCAGGATGGTAGTATCATTACCTGGGTAGGGGTGGGAAGTTACCGTTACCGTTCCCGAGTAACGGTCCCGTTACCAGTTACCTGGGAACGCTAACGGGGAGTTACCAGTCCCCAGGGAACGGGGGAACGGACCTATTATAAGGAATACTCTTGGGTCCTCAAGTCCCATACTATGGAGGTACCGTTAGGTCCTCAAGTCCTATACTATGGGGGTTACCTTGGGTCCTCAACTCCTCTTATTGGGAGTACCTCTGGGTCCTCAAGTCCCATACTAGAGGGGTATCCTTAGGTCCTCAAGTCCTATTATTGGGGGGGGGGGGTGCCCTTGGGTTCTCAAGCACAAATGCCAAAGCTGTATTTTCGCCGTGTTGCACTGAGTAGGAGCCCATACATATACCTATCAATCGATAGAGCATCTTCGATAACCCTAAGGTCGGCCCGAACATGGCTATGTGTTGTCCTTATGATAAGCAAAAAAAGGGCTCCTGAAATCTGATTGGTCTATTTTTGGACCAGTCATATAGCAGGATCCTATTTCTCAGTGTTTGGATGGATGGGAACCCCTACATATACCCATCAATCGATAGAGCACTCTCGATAACCCTGTATTTGGCCCGAACATGCCCATCGCTTTCCCTCACAATAAGGAAAAAAAATTTGAACCCCCTCGGATACCCCCAATAATAGGACTTGAGGAGCCAAGGGCGCCCCCAATAATAGGACTTAAGGACCTAAGGGTATCCCCCAATAGTAGGACTTGAGGACCCAAGGGTACCCCCATCGTATAGGACTTGAGGATCTAAGGGTACCCCCTTATAATAAGCTCGTTCCCCCGTTCCCCGATAACTGGTAATTTTTTCCCTTGCAAGCGTTACCGTTCCCAGGGAACGGTAACTTCCCATCCCTATACCTGGGATGCTATTGGCATCACCCGCAATTATGCTAATAATCCAAGTGAAATCTGAGGGATCTGAGCTTCCGCCCTAGCAAATCCGGCGATATCTCCAACATCCAGATGATGCATCTACCATCCAAAGTAGTATCCCCACAAGCCCAGATGATGCCTCTAGCGTTGCAGATGTCGGTGTTAGCTTCCTGGTTTTCCATGCAGAATTTGTTTCTTTCAAAAGGCGAAGTCGATTAGATGATTTCATGAATCAAGTCTCCATTTGAGCTGAACTACGTGAACAGTTCATCTTAGGTCGAAAACGGTCTTTGAACCGTTCATGTAATCTGAGGTGAACTGTTCGAGCAGATCAGATCACTTTAACGAACGGTTCATCAATTCGAAACTTCTAGCGAGTTGTCCAACTTCCACTGTGCGTCAGCGTTGCGCACCCGTGGCCATACCCTCCCACACATCTATTCTGCATCTACACCTATAGAATAGTTAATGAAAATTTAGAACATGTTTCAACTTAACGCAGGAAAAATAAACTATGTTATTTTGCGCGGAAGTGTAGCGCGCACTAGTGACATACGTGGAAGTGTCGTTGCGCGCAAGTGTCGTGTGCGCAAATGTCACGCGCGCAAATGTCTTAGAACCATTGAGAAGAATAAATCTATATTGTTTTTATTGAAAACAACAATTCTAGAATCAATAAATCAACTCATTATCTCCATAGTTTTAATAAATAGTTAACATATTTATTGATATATATAGGAATATTTATCTTTTAGTTTACCGTTTTTATTCTATCAGTAAGATCTCTCAAAAGAATTTTATTGACTATTCATATAAACAAAAAAATTTTAATCAATTAATAAGAGTTAACTTTTACAAAGGAGATTTATATTATTAAGATAAATAAAATTATATTTTCATTTATTAATCTTTTTTTTAGTTTAAAATGGGTATTCATATAAATAGAATAAAATATTCGATAGTGAATAGATTTCTATAATCGACAGTTACATTTAGTGGACACTCTGCATCAGAGACCGTCACAGGGCAGGAGAACATTTTTAGCCCTGAGAACTTTTTCCTATAAAGATAAATTAAAGAAAAATTTTCGATATAATATCTATCCTTTATATGAAAAATAGTTCAAATAACTATAAAAAAAATCTTATCTTTTATTTTATTCTTTCATACCTTATCATTGTGGAACTTTTTAAATTTTTATCGATTTTTTCTTGTTTATTATATGTCATCCATGTTTATCATTATAGATTGAGTTTAGTTGATAGATGGTTGAATTTTATTTCAATAATATATATAGAGGTATTCATTAAGACGTCCAAATAGCAGGCGGATTTTAAAAATCTTCCTTCCTCTAGAACTCTATTAATAAAAGATCAAGATTCAACCAATGGGTTTCAGTGCAAGGCTTCTAGTTTTGGTATATTAAATAAAACGTTTCTCAAGTGAAGATACGAAAAGGTGAAATAGTATGAATATAGATCAAACAAAAGCAAAAGGCATTTTCGAATGAGCAACAAACAAAGGTAGAATTTATAATAAGGTTTATTATCGTAAAAAAACAAATCGCATAGGAAATTGGTCATTCTACTAATCTAAAAGAGAATAAACGCACAAACTTTCTATTTAATATGGCTCTTTTCAAGGATAGAAATCCGTAATAAAATAGGTAAACAAGGATTTGTTTTACGAAAATGATAATCAAGAGTGAATGATAAAGAGGCGAACAGTTAGAAAAGAGAAGGTAAGGTGAAATAGATCCAATAATGAAATAAATAAGATGTGTAAGCACAACTGTGACAACTATAGTTGAGAATATTGTTGGTGTCAATTCTATATTAACTATTGTCATAATTCAACCACCGAATGTCTCTTCCATAATATTTTATTCATTTGTCAAAGATCGAGTATTGAATTCGATAAAGAATTTATTTTTAAAATCTTATTCAAAATAAACTTTGCTTAAAAAGTCCAAAAAAAGTATGTCAAAACCTGAAGTATCAATAGGAAGCGTTCGAAGGATCAGAAATGTTTGAAGATTCCACTATTTTTGTGCATATATATTAAATTTTTATAAAATTCTCCTCATTCCTATGTTGGTCTTATCCATAAATATCTGATAAAACTCTTTCAAGTAATATTAGTAAAAGAGAAATATTATATGTTAAAATGACTACCAGATTTTTATCAGGTTCTCAGTTCGTTTAATTATGAAGTTTGTTTATACGGCCAGGCCTGATGGGAGGGCAGGGCAGGGCAGGGAAAAAAAAAGGTGCCTTATGATGGTCTCTGCTCCACACTCTGACGGATGTGACTTTTTCTCGAATCGAACGTTCTATATAGTGGAGACCTCTCTAGAGTGGAGACTTTTTTTAGAGTATCCCGGAGTAATTTTTGGTGAAATAGTAGCTCTCTATAGTGGATAGGATCCTATATAAGAGACATTTGACAAATTAAAAACAGTCTCAACTAGAGAGTTATTCTCTATGTTAACAATAATTGAATTTTATCTTTTTGAAGAAGATAAATCTATGAGGAAAGAAGTAAGAATGATTCCTATCCAGTTATATTATTGAGTAAGACCCTTGAAATATTTGTAAAAGGTGTCTGCTTGTTCGAAAAAGTAATCGTTGTTGTAAATAAATGTGGAAACCTCGGATTTAAATCCGAGAGTTATGTGTACTGAAGAAAAGTCAATCAGACAGATGAGTCGTTCTAGAATATGGAGATATAAAAATTATTCTGGAAAACCTTATCTATAAACACTTGATTTCTATTGGCTAATGATTAACCAATAGGATTTGGGGGTGAATACATCTCAGATTTAAACTCTTCACCTTCATTTATCCTAAGAAAGTCGTTTTTCCTATAACTTCATTTCTATTGGTTACTGTTCAACCAATGGGATTTCGAGGCGAATAGAGCACAGATTCGAGTTCTCCATCCCAGAAAATCTCGAACTATCATCTTTGTGATCGAAAGAACGAGCTCTATTTGTGGATCAATTAGAGCGTGGACAAAAACAGAACCGAATACCGTTTAATTATCTTTGCAATAGCTGAGCTGGCTTTCTTGTTTCCTTATGTTTTATATACCACTTTGTAGCTCATGAAATTCTCTATTGAATGGTATATAATAGTTGGTGTTTTATTTTGAGTATGATAGGAAAAGTTTTTTATGAAAGCGGAGATAGGTCGATCTTCTCATAGGGAAAAATGAGTATTTTTGCAATAACTCAGCAATGGCTCGGCGAATCATTCTCATCTTCTTCTCTCGACCTAGATATTGTTGAGACTAAACTGTGTAGAGAATTTCATCGCAATCGGACTCTCCTTTTAAAAGTTATCGTGTAAACGGACGGACGGACGGACACACTGATCGATTGTAGAGTGTCTTTCGCTTTTTGAGTACACAAAAAGGTAACCTCTTTATAGTAGAGATCTTTCTATAATGTTGAGTTTTAAAAAGTATTTGAGGTATAAACTATATATTAATATATGTTTATATAAACGATTGTGATATAAAATAACTCGTCTGATTATAATATTTCTATCGATAATATAAACGTTGGATTTGGTTTGTTTTTTGTTAAATAAAAAGAGAAAAAAAAAGTAAAATATTTCAATATAATATTGAAATAATGAAAATATCTAAATGATATAGTTAAATAATAAATAAAATGAAAAAAAGAAAAATTGATAAATTATTTTGAATGAAATAATAAAAAAAAAAAGGCTGAATAATGATAAAATAATGAATAAATGAATAAAAAAAAAAAAAAAAAGAGTCGATTCACAAATGGACGTGTTTAGTACTAGTAACAATTAATCCATTAAATGGTTGATCTTGTTTATAATTAATTGTTGTTAATGAATCAAATGATGATGTATTATCAATATTATTTTCAATTTCTTTAACAAAAATCGAATTTGTTTTTGAATTAAATTTATCTGAAGATGATGAATTATTATTTGAAAAATCATTTAATTTATAATTATTTTCTTTGGAATTTTTTAATCGAATTTTTTTTTCATTTAAATCTTCAATTGAATTATTAATTAGATTATTTTCAATAAAATTCATTGGAATTGATTTTTTTTTAAATAAAGATATTTGTTTATCTTGTTTATCATATTGATTTGATATTCCAATATCATGAAATCTATCACCTATTCTATTATAATATGTTGTTAATGAATCATATGTTGTTCGACGATCTTTTTTACAACATAATATTGACAAATAATTACATTTTGATAATAATAAATAATATGTTAACGGAGATATTGAAGAATTTGACCATGCTAATAACAATAAATATCTAAATAAATTTTTATTTATTTTAATTTGTTTCTTCAAGATAAAATATTTTATATTATTTATCTTATTTTATATATAAAATCAATATATTGATAAAAGAATAATTTTATTTAAGATTTTTTCAAAATAATTTCAATTCGAACTGAATAATTAACTAAATAAAGATATAAAAAGTCTCAAAAGTGATTGAATAAAATATTGTTTAAATAAATTATTTAAAAAGATTATATAGTTATATTATTGACTAGAAATAAACTCTTGAATATATATTTAATAATCATTTTCAAATAATTTATTCGATAGTTAATATATGAAAGATAAATTTATTAATTATATATAATTATTTATGATAATTATCTCTAAATGAAAAAAAGAGTTAAATCAATATTGAATGAATAGATAAAATAAGGTTAAAAAACTTGTTTCAATTCTTTTAACTATTTAAGATAAATTCTATAAATCGAACTCTTTTTAGAATTTTTTTAAAAATATTTTCGAAAGTTTTAATCAAAGGATAAATAATATATTGAATTATGTCAAATAAAAGAAAAAAAATATTTTTTAGATAATTTTCTTTAAAATTCTAATAAAAAAAAAAAAAAAAAAAAAAAAAAAGTATCAGATCAAACCTAAGAATTTGTTGCCGTATTTTAAATTTAATATTACATAATGTAACAATAAATAATGGAAACCAAAAAATAATAAAAAGAATAATAAGTAATATATTAAGTTTAATTCTTAATTGAATTTGTTGCATAATTATATCTCGTGTTGCTATTGTTTGTCCATGATGTTTACCAATAATTGATAATGAAAGTAATGGTTGATTATGTCGCCTTTTCGATGATACTTCAGTTAAGATTTTATGAATATATCTTATTGTTATCATTAAAGAAAATATTGTTATTATTATCCACATTAATGTTAACACATATCCACGAAAATCTCTTATTATAAAATTACAATATTTACCATCATTATCATAATAATATTTTGATTCACTACCAATCATTGTTATACCTAAGATAACATTTTATTTATAAAACATTAATTTATTTTTTAATTAACTAAGATTTAATCGAGTTTTATTCTAATAGTTAGATTTTTCAATGGTTTTATTTAAAACAAATCTCATTTATTCGACTTAAATCAAAGAAAAGAAAAAAAATCTTCATCTTTGGAAAAATAAGTTGAGAATAAGAAAAAAATGTGAAAAATAAATTTCTTGGATATAATTATCTTTAAGAATAAATCTATTAGTTTGAAATCTAATCTCAATTTAAAAACAAAATCAAATTCTATTTAACAAATAACCATTTGTTTTATTCTCAATAAAATATTGAAAAAACAAAACGATTTTTATTTTATTTTAAATATTATTTAGAAATAGAAAATTATTTTAAATTTTATTCAAATCTCATTTTTATTAATTAATCAATATTTACATATTGATTAGTTTTTCTCAATTTATTTTTTTTTTTCAAAAAAAATAAAATTTTTCTCCGTATTTATTAATATATTGATCTTAAATATATCTAAGATGTGATTATATTGTTAAATATAGTGAAAATCGAAGAAAAAAAAAATTTTTGTTATTTAAATGTTACCTAAATGAAGTATAACAGAAGAAAACCAAATAATTAAAATTCCAAAAGAAAGACAACCACATGATATTGTTGATTTATTTGATTGTTTTAATTTATATTGATAAGAATTTGAATTCAAATGTGAATGATTTGAATATAAATCTTGATGAATAAGATCTTCAAATGTATAAGCTTCATTAGCAACCATAGCAGCCATATTTAATAATTGAGCTGTAACACAAGTAACTTGAATATTTCCTAAATAATGACATCCAATTGAATAATTTGAAAAACTTAATATATATGGTAAAGATAATATTGATAATATTAAACAAATAAAACAATGATGAAATAAAAAACATGATGATTTCATTTTATATGCTGCTATTATTAATAAATATATCATTGTTAATATATTTATTAATATTCCACTTATTCCTATTAAATATAATATTATTATTTCAATTGATGAGACATTTGTTAAGATTATTTTATTTCCATTAGAATTTAAACTAATATTCACATTTGAAGACATTTTTATTTCATTTTTTTTTAAATTTAAATCTAAATGATTTTTTTTTTCGTTTATTTGATAAGAAAAGAAATTTTTATCAATAAATAAATAAATAAATAAATAAATAAATGAATAAATAAATAAGTAAAATAATTAAAATAAAGTCGATGTGTAAATATAGTAATAAATTTGAAAAAAAAAGGGTTGAAATAAATATTGGTATTATTGTTATATTTAATGTATATTGTTTAACCAGTACTTGTCCTTATTCGAGAATAATAATATCTAACCATAAATGAGACAAGGACGATGCTTCTTCTTCGTTTTTTCTTTTTTTTTTCTCTAGAATAATAATAATCATCAATAGAAACCAATGTCTATCATATTCGTCGAAGAAAAAAAAAACCAGGAGAAGAACGACATTCTCTCATCTATCGGCATGTTGTCAAATAATCTATGAGAATAGAGTTGGCATTTTTTTTTTCTTTTCTATAGAAGAATCGTTGTGTCGATTTGTTGAGAGTATCGTTGCAGAACATGCTCCAATATATATCCAAAGACACGTCTCAACATGATTGACGAAACGAGAAAAAAAACTCTTTATACGGGTCAAGACACATACATCTTCAACTATAAGAAAAGAAAAAAAAAAAATCTAACCAAAGGAAAGGATCCATCGTTTTTTTCTTGTTCTTTATCTCGATTTCTTTCTATAGATTGGTAATCAAGTGTAAAAAAAACCGTCGTCGACTCTTCTCTTGTTTTCACTGTCATTCCTTCTAGTGGATCTTTGTTTACTTGTTATTCTATAGAAATTTTTATCATCGATCAAATTAGAACAACAAAAATAAAATTTAAGATACTTTCACCACATATCCTCTTATCAAACATTAGAATAACACTATACTCAATTATCTATCCAGAGACATTTAAATAATATTTCAAAATTTTTTTATTTTTTTTAAGATCATATATCAATTATCTTTTCACAACACATTTTACTTTTTTTTTCATTTAATTATTTTTATAAATATTCGATTTTTACGATATATAAATACAGAATATAATTAGTACGAATACAAAAAGAATAGAATCTATCAATTCATCTCGATTAACAAATCTTTAAGATATATTCTATAGAAAACGAATCTAATTAGCAGATTTAAACAATAGAAATCTATTCAATTCAACTATATCAACAAAAATAAATAACCCTACTCGAACAATACCATATCTATATAGGCGTTTACCATCAAATATGACATGTTAATAAAGACAAAATTACTCATAAATACACTTCTATCTATCATAGAATATGGCGCAACATTATTACATATTTCTAGTGATAATATGCACTCCTATACGGACAGTAACATTCAATGTCTTATAACAGAAAAATATCTTAGATCAACATCTCAAATCGTAACAAATTCAATGAAAATATATTTCATGAAACAAATTATTAACTAATCGAATCGTTCGAAATCCAATCGATAAATAATCATTGACAAATAATGAAGAAAAAAAAATCGTGTAACTGATAGAGTTGACAGCTACGAGAATCCAAAATCCCGGAAAATTCCGAGATCTGTTTTTTGAAGTCGAGAAAAAATTCGGAAACGCTTTCGAGAGTCTGTTTTAACTGCTTGAAGCATGTTTTTCTCAAGTAGATTATCAATAACTTTATTCTTCATTTTCACAAAATATATTTACATAAGAAAAATAAACTATACATTTCAATATTAATTAACACCTTCTTTTTTAATAGAATATTTTACATTAGAATAAATAAATCTCAACAGTTCAAATTTCAATAAGAAAAAAAATCATAAGCTTTTCTACAAGATAAAGATCAGTTTAAATGAATTCTTAATTCAGCTGCAATAAGTTCTGTTGACACACTATTTCATTTATCATCGAATTAATGTTTCATTGTCGAAAAAACATTTTCGACACATGCATTACTATATGGAATTGAAAATAATAATAAGAGAAGTTTGTACATATTAGGTGAAGGCGTAAACTTAACAGATAGAACCATTGACTACAAATGACCAGATCTAATTCCCTTTGTTATTATATTTTTTTTCTATTGAATCATTATCATTACTGTCCCGTTCTTCTTGAGCTTCATTATTTAATAAGACTTTTGTTGAAGTAGCTGCTAATGTATTTAGATTGGATTTCTGGTTAATATATGATTGAACTTGATCAAACAGAAGAATATTTTTATCTTGTATAGATTTAAATATCATTTGAATTCCACTAAATTCATTAAACAAATCATATTCACTTAAATTTTTCATTTAAAATAATTCAATAGATTTTGTAACACGGTTCCGTGTTAATATCATTCGTTGTTGGTAAACCAAATGGCCTTATAGCTTCATACAATAATGATGGGGCAACACCTTTAGGTTCAATTATCTTTCATTCATTTTACTATTGTTGACGGAGAGAAAAGATATGCAAATATGGAGAAAAAATAATTGGTCCTTTGAGCTCGTCAACAGAAGGAAAATTTGAACTTCCTGCGAGTCATTGATAAATTTTTTGTGAATATTAACAGACAAGTCAAATATGATTAGAATAGAAAATATCTGAAATTCGAAAAAAAATTCGGAAGCCAGAAAAATTTCAGAAAAAAAATTTGCAAATTCTGGAATCTTTCTGCTAAATCCTGAAGATGTAATAGCACTGGCAACTAGAAAGAAATGATCCCTATACCTATATTGGTCAATCTTTCTCATATAAGATATCGAGGAATTCATTAGAGACTCAACTTTTTATTCATGGTGGTACGCATTAGACATCTGTATATGACACGTTTATTTCTTCTATGAAGATCTGCTTAGGACAGTAGAAACGTTTTTTCATTCGATCCATCTAGAAGTCAGAATTTAAGTGGAAGTGTTCTATACTTTAATGCATACACATATTTAGAATTAATTATATGCGAAACTTCAGACTTATAGCTTTTGATCATCATTCTAATTTTTCATTCCTCATACTTTACAGTGCTTTGACACTCTTAAGGAGCCCAGCACGGTGCGGGATACCGGACCGGTATTCATTGAGGTCCAGAAGTCCTCGTGTCTCGCTCTCGGACTAGTGACCAATTTGTGGGACTCTAAACATTTTCTGACTACGAAAAAAAGATCCAATAGCGATTGTTAATACGACCAAAATAACACGTTTTGGATCATAGAATGTCAGATCGTGTTTTCATATTACTAAACATGCACTAATTATTCGACAGCTACAATGATATCAAATCGAGGTTGCAATACTGTTGCCCATTTCAAAATAAAAGACACGTGGGTATTTTTTGAATAACTTTTGATAGGAACAAGATAGAGAGCTGCGGTTTTCACCGTTGGAAAGAGGCTGGGACAGCGCATCGATTCATATAAAATTGTTGAAATTTATTTCATAAATAGGTAGTGATGCATGGTCATATTCAAAGAGCAGTCTGTTGTCCTATGAAGATGCAACAAATCTTAAACTTTCAGGAGTGGACTAGAATCCTTAGCTGACGAGCTACAAATCTACGAAAGGCCGAAATTTTTATCTTAAGTCGTTCAAACATTATGGATCAAATACTAACGGCATTTGATCGAGTTTTTGTCAATTTTATCTTGCGTAAAATATTTTTCAAATTATTATTAATAATGTTTTTCAACATGCTGGATCAATTGGCAATATTTATTTTGCTCTAGAATACTTCTTTTTCTATCAAAATACTATTACTAGTGATTGTACGATGTTACTT